GGGGGGGGGGCAGGAAGCAGCCAGAACACGGTTATTCATTCAACAGCTCCTTATCCATCACCTTCTTGCCAAGTGTGGTTGCAGGCGCCAGGGAAATAGCAGAGAAGGACACAGACGAACCTGTGCCCTTGGGGTGATGAGGGCTTGGTAAACAAGAGTGTCGGATGGTGAAGGCTGGGCAAGGCGCGGGGATGGGACCGAGCCGCCCAGGGGGCCGTGAGGGCAGGGGCGGGAGTGAGAAGGCCTGCTGGGAAGGTGACCAGAGAGGGAGTGCAGATGTCCAGGATGGGAGGAGCGGAATGGGCAGAGGACACAGCCGGGACAAAGGTCCTGGGGCAAGGCCATGCCCGTGTAAGTGGCTGGAGCCTAGTGATGAGGGGAGGTGGTGCAGGGCTGTGGGGGCCTCGGGGAGGACTGGGCTTTTCCCACAGGGTGGCGCAGGCCTTGGAGGGCTGCAGGCAGGGAAGGGCAGACCTGACTTGGGCGCTCCTGGGCGCCCTTTGGAGGATGGACTGTGGGGGCAGGGCAGTGGAACGGGACCATCTGGGTGGGGTGGTCACTTAATGCTTTGCTGGTGAGAACCAATCAGACTGTGGATTTGGGGGGATCCCCACAGCACTTGCTGAGTATCAGGATGTAGGGGACAAGGCCCCCCGAGAGTTGCTGTTCAAGCCGGGAGCCCCCCTCACACCCACTCGGGGGAAGATCCCTAGAGCCCTTGCTGGCCGCGTAGTCCCGCAGAGACTCCTCTGTCCTCTGTCCTCGGTCTCCGGCTCCGTGTTTTCCCAGCCTCCTTGCTGCACATTTAAAACCCGGAGCAGCAGGCTGGCCCAGCCAGCTCCTCTCCCCAGGGAGGGCCAGCTAGCAAGCAGGAGGGAGCAGCTCTTCCCATGCTGAGTGCACTCAAGTGCCAGTAAATTGCGGATTAACGAGCCAGGGCGAGTTGGGGAAGGCTCCCCTGGGCGCGTGCTGCTGGGAGGCCCAGCTGGGGAACCCACCCCCGGCTGCCCCAGGAGGCCGCCCCAGCCCGCGGCCACGAGAGGGGGTCCCGCTGCCCGCCCCCTCCCCCACCATTCTGCCTGCCTGACCGGGCTCCAGATGGAAGCAGGTAAGCCCCGTCCTGACTTTGAGAAGTTGCCTCTGCTTCTCTGGGCCTCTGTTTTCTCATCTGCAAAATGGGAATGCCAGTGGCTCCCGTTAACTAGGACAGACCACGGTTGGCACCCACACCGCACGCACTGCTTTATCGGCTCTCTCTCTTCATGGATCAGAGCGTTTTCCCAGGATTTTGGAGGTTGCCCTGGGCCAGACAACTCTGGGCGGCTTCTCCGTGCCCACCACGGAGGGGTGCGCGTTGACAAGGCAGGGACGCTGCTGGCACAGCCACAGACCCAAGACCAGCTCCACGCCGTCTTCTCCGGGAGGCCACGGTTGCTGGGTTGACATTAAACACGTGGCACCAGCCACATTTCAAGTGCCCGGTAGCCACTCAAAGCCGGCAGCCACTGCATTAGACGGGCAGGTCTGGAACATTCCCGCTGTATTTAGTCTGGCAGTGGACTAAATGTAGCTGAACTTTGTTCCCATCGAGGGCCTTATCTCACCACGAGGCGGGGGCTCCCCGTCACGGATTCTTGGGAATAGTGGCCAAGAGGGTTGGTCTGCCCGCAGCCCGGACGCAGGCATGTTCTCGGGACCCCTGCTTCTGGGGTCTGTGCTGTCCTGCTTGGCTGTTGAGCACCTGCCTGAGACTGGAGGAATTGCATTTTTTTTTTTATTTTTATTTTTTAACGTTTATTTATTTTTGAGACAGAGAGAGACAGAGCATGAACGGGGGAGGGGCAGAGAGAGAGGGAGACACAGAGTCCAGGCTCGGAGCTGTCAGCACAGAGCCCGACGCGGGGCTCGAACTCATGAACCGTGAGATCGTGACCTGAGCTGAAGTCGGACGCTTAACCGACTGAGCCCCCCGGGCGCCCCAGGAATTGCATTTTTAAGTTTGTTTATTTTGAGACAGGGAGAGGGAGGGGCAGAGGAAGAGGGAGAGAGAGAGTCCCAAGCAGGCTCTTCCCTGTTAGCAGAGCTCTGACGTGGGGCTCCAACCCATGAACCGTGAGATCATGACCTGCCTGGAAATCAAGAGTCGGACGCTCAACCGACTGAGCCACCCAGGTGTCCCCCTCGTCGATTTCTTAATACGCTTCCAACACTTAAGTAAACGCACGTGTCCCCACGCAGAGGGGCATATGTCCTGGGGTGAGGACCAGATCGGATCCTACCTTCTACCATTTTATGAAAATGACTGGCCTTTAGGGTTAGGCTTTACCACCTGCTGCTGAGTTCTGGGTACAAAGAACTCTCTTCACACTCAGCCCGGTGCCTGCTGAGGGCTCTGTGTTACCACCAATCAATCCGCCCAGAACCATTCAAGGCAGGCAGTGTGTCCCCGCCTCGCACACTGAGGGACCCTTGCAGGAGGAGGTCTGCGCCCCGGGGCTGTCCAGCTGCAGAGGCTTAGCTGGGACACTTCTGCCCCTCCAGGCAGAAAACTTCCTGCGGACCATGGAGACCTGGAGTCGACCCCGGGGCTTCCAGCCCGGGGAGGTGGGTGCCCGGCCCTCGAGGTGGGAAAGGGGACGGGCTTGGGGCCAAGGGCACCCCCTCCCACCCCTCCCAACCGTGTGCTTGTAGGAGCCCTCGAGCCAGGTCTCGGGTGGGCTGGCTGACCGGCACTCCTGGGGGCCCCCCAGCCCCGAGACTTCCCCGCGCCCGGCGCTCCCGACCCCGCCGCGCTCCAGTCTCCGGGGGCCGCACTTCGAGGATGTCGTGGCCGCGAGGTCCTCAGACTGGCTCACGCAGCGCTCGGGGGTGGACGACGCCCCAGCCCACCAGCTGGACACGCCGGCGTCCTGGGACTCGGAGCCCCAGCTCTGGCAGGACGTCCTGACCGAGCAGCTCTGGCAGATCTTCGCCGGGACCCACAATAAGGGGGAGCGGCTGCAGCACACACGTGAGCCTCCCGCGGGCGAGGGGCTGGGGGGTGGGGAGGGAGGGGGCTGTCCAGGGGCAGCACAGTTGAACCTTGTCCTCCTGTTCACTCCCCCCACCCCCCTTCGTCCTAGTGACAGAGCAGGCGCCAGGCCTGGTGAGTGACTGGTACCTGGAGGGCTGGGCTTCTGGCTGGCGGCGATCTGGACTGGGCCCTCGGGCTGGGTGCTGGGGTCCTGGGATCCGTTGGGTCCTTAGCCGCGCACGCCCTCGGGGGACTCAGGACTGTGTCCCAGGACTGTAGCCCCACCCAGGACGGGACTTGGGGCTGTTGGCGAGTGCTGTCTATACCACCTGGGCCTCCCTGAGGTTTCCAGGGTCTAAGACTGACCCTGGGCTGGTCTTCTGGTCTGATCGCCCCAATTCCCACGGGCAGGAGAGTCAGGACCTGGGACCGCGCTACTCAGGACTGGAACCACGTATGGAAGACACTTTGGGTAATCCCAGTGCGGGGAGGGGGGGCAGCCTGCCCCGAGGACCCCCACCCGTCACTCATCTGCTCTTGTCTTTGCCCAGTTCTCAGCCCACCTGTGCCCTCCCTCAGCTCCCCTGAGGGCTCCCACGAAGGGAGCACAGAGCCAGGCGCCGAGGCGGACGGGATGCTCTCCCGAGTGGCCCAGGTGAGGCCCAGGTGAAGGCTGGGAGGGCTGGGGCAGAAGCTGCTGAGCGTGACCGTGGTCCCGCCCACAGGAGCCTGCTGGGAGAGCCCGCCCTTTCCTGAAGCCCATGTGAGCATCTGTCACTCTCCTACATGCACCTCTGTCCCTGGCGGGTAGAGGGGACCAGGGATGTGGGTGTGTCCTCCCCTTCCCCACTGTATTACTGTCCTCAGTAACCAGAGCTGAGGGATCTGGGTGGAAAGGGGCGGCTCCGAGACCGTCAGGCCAGCATCACTGTCCCTCCCCACGTGACTAGCTCTGGCTTTGCACAAAGGACTCCCATGGAAAGAGGGTGTTAGAGCTGGGTGCAGACAGTCCTGACCTTGCGGTCTGAGGCTGGGGGAGCCCAGCTGGGGACGAGGAGGCTACCTGGAGGGAAGGGGCGTAACGGTCAGGGTCTTGATGGATGAGCAGGAGTTTGCTAGGACGGGGCAAAGCATTCCAGGCGGAAGGGGGTGACGTTTGGTTCTAGGAGAGGGAGAATACTTGAGGGGGCATGGGTAGCGCCGTGGGGGAAGCAAGGCCTGAGAACCCCAACGTCTGCAAAAGAATGAAGCTCCTCGGGTTTGAGGGGTGGTCCCCTCCGGGCAGAGAGGCTCACCAGTAGGCTGGTGCCCCGGGGCTTCCCCTCCCAAGATGCTGGGACCCTGAGGACTTTGAGGACACGTGGAAGAGACCGGACGCCTTGCCCTGGCAATCCAAGAAGCGGGCCATCCCACACAGAATGGAGAAGGTGCGGACGCTGGAACACGGGGAGCCCGTGCTGGCCACGGCTGTCAGCAGCTTCGTGCGACACGCCTTCACCTGTGGCAGGGGTGGTGTCAAAGTGTGGAGCCTGGCCAGCCAGGTGGTGGAGGACAGGTATCCCGAGAGCCACCTGTGTGTACAGGTGAGGGAGGGGCTGGCTCTGGGGGCGGGGCCTGCGGGAGCCAGAAGAGCCGCGGAGGACGAGGACGGTCCCCTGCATCTCTGCCCACCGCAGACCCGCCGGGCCTACCTGCGCACCTGCCTGCTGTCCTCGGACAGCACGACCCTGCTCGCGGGTGGCCACAACCTGGCCGGCGTGAGCGTGTGGGACCTGACCGCGCCTTCCCTGTACGTGAGCGGTGAGCTGCCCTGCGCGGGCCTCACCTGCCAGGCCCTGGCCTCCAAGCCTGAGGACAGCCTGGCCTTGGCTGGTTTCACGGAGGGCACAGTCAGGATCTGGGACCTACGGGACCAGAGTGTCATCAGGTGAGGCCTGGGCGGGGGAGGGGCGCAGAGTCGTGCTGTAAGCCTCAGTAGGGATCCAGCAGCCCCAAAGCAGAGAAACCCCTGGACCACTTACGTTTGTATCTGAGAGCATTGAAGGCCTGAGTTCAGACTTTGGCTGGGTTTCTTCACTCGGTTTCCCCATCTGTCGCCCGGGTGTGGTTCGGTGGGGGAGGGGAATTCCTGGGGCTTAAGGCTCGGAGTCTCAGCCCTGACCCTCTCCCAATACCCCTTACCCTCTCCCAATACCCCTTCTGGCCAGGGACCTGCCGGGCCACCCGAATGGGGCCAAGAGCATTGCTGTCAAAGACCAGAACGTCTGGACAGGGGGTCTGGACACCTGTCTGCGGTGCTGGGACCTGAGGGCTGCCAGAGAGCCTCAGGAGTACCAGTTTGAGTCTCAGGTGTGCAGGCTGGGAAGGGTCTGGTCGGCCAGGTAGTAGTAGCTGGGTCTCAGAACAGAGAAGGAGGTGGATGGGGGCTGGGGAAGGGGGCTGGATGGGACCCCACATCTCAGTGGTGCTGGCGGGAATAGGGTCGTTAGAGATGTTCTCCCCCCTCCAGCCCCAAGAGCATCAGACACTTTCATATTGTTTAGGTGCTCCTAGCCCCCTTTAGTCTCCGCAGTCAGCCCTTAAGGTAGAGGGAACCGACCTGCTTTACAGATGAGCAGACTGAGGCCCACAGTGTGAAGTTGCTCATTAGGCCCTCGAAGTCGGGAGGCTGGCGGGAGGTCAGCCCCCAGGGTGGGCCCCTGTGCCCCTGTCCGCCTCTTGGGCCAGGCTGGGACCTGACTAGCTTCTTCCCTGCCGCCTGCCCCCCAGATAATGAGCCTGTCCCCTAGTCCCCAGGAGGACTGGGTGCTGGTGGGCACAGCCAATGGCCAGCAGTGGCTGCAGCCCACCCGAGGGGGCCAGAAGCACATGGTGGGGTGTAAGGACGGCACCATCCTGGGTCTGAAGTTCTCCCCCCTCGGTGAGTGGCCAGGAAGGGGCAGGCAAGTCCCCTGTGGTCCCCAGACTCCCACAGGATCCTAGCCCGCCTTCCTGACCCCTCCTGACCCCCCAACACCCTTCATCAGCAGGAACCACTCAGTGATGCCTTCCACAGAGGCAAGAGGGAGGCGGGGGGCCACCTCTGCGTCCCAGACCCCCAGGGGCCCTGCCCCCAGATGCCGATTTCCCCCACAAACTGGTCCCTTCCGCCTCCTCCCAGGCCAGTGGTGGGTGAGCGTCGGGACGGACGACCTGGTTGGCGTCTATAGCATGCCCGCGGGGGCCGTGGAGCTCCAGGTACCCCGGGTGTGTGGGGGGGGGG